ACTAGGGACAAAAAAGGACAAATAGTGGACAAGTGTGTACAAATAGGGGACAAATAGGGGACAAGTGTGTACAAATAGTGGACAACATACAATACAGAATCAGCAGTATCTGCATATTTTTACATAAAAAAAATAAATTCGTACTTGTTTTAATTTAGTCTCGAAATACGTTATTTCACATTGATCGATTTATCTATCTATTATTAAAATAACCTTAGTTTCAAACTTCTTAGAAAAAATCAAGAAGGATTCTATACAAAAAATAAAATAAAAAATAAAATAAAAAATAAAATAAAAATGACAACGGCGCGCATCGAACCCGCGACCATGCGCCCTCAATCAGAATTCGACCAATCAGATTTAAGGAAGTAAAAGTATCAGCCACATTGAAACCCAAAACATCTAGAAGAAAAAAACCGCATATCGACTTGCACTTTCTGCTACAGCACCGACACACTCACTTCCTACACGAAAAGAAAGTTCATCTCGATTTAATACCACACTCGAAAACACCGTAAATATGCAGTGAATTTTATTTATATTGTAAATAACGCATTATTGTGAGAAACAGAGCCCCTTTTTTTCCACGGAGAGATGATTGCAAACAGTCTACAGAATGTAAAACCACAACCGGAAAAACCAGAAGAACCGAGAGAGAGTGTCTACTAATATTTATTGAGTATATGTACAATGAAATGCATTCTGTTTCTTTCTTTTTCTTCTTTCTCACAGGGCCCGACGTTCGAGTGTAGTCCTATTAACAATGCATACCTAAAAAACAGAAGGCAGTATTTAATACATATACAGGGGAGATGATTATGGGAGTACCTCAAAAATGATGACATCACAATCAAAACACACATGATGAAGTGACGTTACTATGAGCCGCAGGGTCGTGGGGTTGTGGAGTCCGCCATCTTGGATCCAAGATGGTTGCTAGCCTTAGCAACCAGATCCAAGATGGCAGACTCCTTAGCAACCCCACCTCATAGTATCGTCTATTCATCAATTACCGTCTCCCGATTTACAGTGATTTTCATTTTCATACCCCGTGCTTGCTTACTTTCTAACTTGATTTTGATTATATATATTATTTTTTTTAGAGGCGCAGAGCCGTTCCAATTTTCTCTCCCTATTACCTCAACTTCAATCAATTGTGTTCTATAATGTTTTTTCCCTATATCTTCCTTCCAAATATTGTAATACTTATTATCTGCAGTGGAAACCCTGAATGTTATAATAACTTTGTACTTTGTATTGCTCAAACTGAGTATTGTATTGGCTGATCTTACATTGGTCCTACTCTTGTGATGATGATGTTCCCATTTGATAATTACGTCATAAAGTATTTGTGGGACAGAACTAGTAACACATAATGTAAACCCAATATCCCCCATTAGGCTACATTTGTATCAGTATTACAAGTGATCAAGCGTATGGTTGAACGAGACTAGACAATACCGTGTGTTTAGCATTACGTCATAAGGTATTTGTGGGACAGAACTAGTCAGACATAATGTAAACCCAATATCCCCCATTAGGCTACATTTGTATCAGTATTACAAGTGATCAAGCGTCTGGTTGAACGAGACTAGACAGTACCGTGTGTTTAGCATTACGTCATAAGGTATTTGTGGGACAGAACTAATGTGTATATTTAATGACGCAGTAAAAGAAATTGAAATAAAGTGTGTTTAATCGTGCTGATTGAAGAACAAAGCGATCGATTGCAGTAATGGCTGACTTTTTTTATCGTATAGTAAAACGTGTAATTAGAATACAGGTGCACGAATATCGACTGTTTACCCAGCCGTCATGGTGATTATGTCACACATGTACCTATCTGGGGGAGTTTCTTTCAACACGCAGGGGTGAATACGTCAGAATAATTCGGACTAGGTAGGATTGATCAGTGATTAAGATGATGTTGGGACATATACAACTGTTTTCACACATCCGGCAAGGATTTCCAGGAAACAGCACAGCCTAAGGAATGTTTATATACTATTATGATGAACAGGTATGTATAGCCACGGTTTGGATAAATCGAAAACTTATCAATTCATTGATGCAATTTCTTTTCGTGTGCATTTCGTTGTCATCAGTTTGGTTGTCTTAAAAAGTACCCGTGAACCACATATAAATGTTTTCGAAAAACATAAATCCATTTGATTATTAGGACATAATTACTTTGAACTCAAACAACATAGTTACAGTACTACATGTACCGTTACATGGCCTCTGCCCCTGTGCTCCAGCCGTTGTCATTGTCTGACAGCGACCTCGAGGACGTGTCCCTAGAAAAGGCACATCATGCATGTTTATGTCGGGCCACCGAACAGGTCCTTTTCAACAGAACAGAATAATTCACTGTCCTTTAATTTACACTAGCGTCCGATGCTAGTGGCGAAGCAGGTGAAATTGTCCCGGCTCGTCGGCCAGTCCCTTCATCGACAGTGAGCTAGTCTTGTTGATACAAGCTGTAAAAAAAGCTGTACATTGATGGTATTTTTTACACCGAGCCTACAGTAGCGATCACTACCAAGGACACTGGCCTTTTAAATCATATCAAGACATATGACTTGATTTTTCTATCTGAATGTTGGATACCCAATGATTATTCTTTATCAATTTAGGGTTTTTCATGTTATATTTACCTTAGATTACTAGTTGTAGGATCTTAAGGTGGTGGGATGGTTATTTTTGTTAAAAACGTGTTTGTAAATTATGTATCTGTAATTGAATCAATATATGATTCAATTATATGGTTAAAGGTATCGAAAACCCTTATTGATAACCACAATGATTTATATATAGCATGTGTTTACATGCCACCTTCTAGTTCTGTATATTATAACATATACAACTGTGACCTTTTCTTTGAACTTTAAAATGGTATTGTAAATTATAGTTCCCTCGGGGACATTATGATGGTTGGAGATTTTATTAGCCGTACAGGTATTTTACCTGATTATATTCAGTATTAAAAATTGCCTCTCAAATAAAATAAATTATGAACCTGATGACGGTTTAAAAATCAGACATAATCCAGATGTAGTAATTTACACTTTTGGTACTCACCTGATACAGCTATGTAAATCATGTAATATGTGTATATGTAACGGAAGAGACCAACAAGGATACTCAAATGATTTTACATACTATGGACACAATGGCATGAGTACTATAGATTACCGTATAATTACAGATTGATTATTGAATATTCTGGTACAATTTATAGTTTCAAATTTTAATGTATTTTCTGACCATGCTCCTTTGCATATTCAATTAAAATGTCAGATTCGTTACACATGATGTTACTGAAAGTGGTTAGCGTAAAAGGATTGTTATTTAAATTTGTTGTCTGACAATCGGGAGAACCTATGTGTTGCTGTAACCATCCCTGGTGTTGTTAGTCAGTCTGATATTAACACTAGTGTGAGTAGTTTTACTGAAATACTGATGAAATCTATGGAACCTTTCCTTGTAAAATTAACTAAATATGGTGATGCCAAGCAAGATAACCACAATTATACATGCCGAGATGGGTTAATCAATTTTAATACTGACAAACCATGGTTTGATATGATATTGAAAACTTTGTACAACTTGTACAAATCAGCTCTGTATAACTTCAATAAGGAAAAAAAATGTATTTAATCATACTCTGCTTGTGGAAAAGGAACTATAAATTAAAAGAATCTATGAAAAAAAGAATGTACTTAAAGTGTGAAGGCGATATGCTTGAATATATGAGATTTAACAATCCTAAGGAATTTTACAGAAAATTCACTGCATCTAAGTCCAAGAAACCAGATATAAAATTGAAACTTTTATTTGAGCACTTCAAAAATTTGGCCAAAAATTTCGTGTTGATAGAAAGGCAATAAAATGTTCTGTTCGCACATTTTCATTTACATGTTAACGTTTACATTTATGTGGATAAAGAAAACGTGTCTCATTTAAACTTTATCCACGGCATGTATGTGTGTTGCGGTGGCCAAGTGGTTAAGGCGTCTCACATTCTGCAACCACTAGCCATCCACCACTGGGTCGCGGGTTCTAGACCTACATGAGGCAGTCGCCAGGTACTGGCCGTAGGTCGGTGGTTTTTCTCGGGGAACTCGGACTTTCCTCCACCACCAAAACCTGGCACACCCTTGTACAAAAACAAACCAAACTAGTGAATTTTTGGACACATGTTTAAGATGTGAAAAAGGATAATTAAGATCATGAAGCATAAAATAATAAAAAAAGATATCACCAGAAATACAAACAAAATAAATAAAGTTTATATATAATCGAAATATACATGTATATTTAAAAACGAACAAAAGGAAGCAGCTGTTTAAAATTATTGGTTTTAGATTGAGAAACCCAAATAAACTAAACGTTTTATTACACCATCCTGTCATTTATTACACCATCCTGCCATTTATTACACGATCCTGCCGTTAATTACACCATCCTGCCATTTAATACACCATCTTGCCATTTATTACACAATTCTGTCATCTATTACACCATCCTGCCATTAATTACACCATCCTGCAATTTATTACACCATCCTGTCATTTATTACACCATCCTGTTGCCATTTATTACACCATCCTGTCATTTATTACACCATCCTGTCATTTATTACACCATCCTGTTGCCATTTATTACACCATCCTGACATTTATTACACAATCCTGCCATTAATTACACCATCCTGCCATTTATTACACCATCCTTGGCATTTTGTACACTATCCTGTTATTTTTTACACCATCCTACCATTAATTACACCATCCTGCCATTTATTACACCATCCTGCCATTAACTACACCATCCTACCATTAATTTCTCATCGAACACGACCAATCCAACCCTATTCATGCTCTCCGCCCACCTACGTCCACTTTAGTGTGGCTGGGTACCTGCGATTTAATGTTCAAGCAGGGACGTTTCAATTTATTAAGACACAATTCTGATGATGAGTGTTAAGATTATGTTCAACACCATTTTAGCAAATTTGTTATTTTAGTGTCACACTATCCTCAAATTGAATTTATATTCTTAGATACTCCCCTTATTCTATGTGGGATATAACGCTTTTAAGTGTCACAACCAACCTGACATATTTGTTAAGGAAGATGAAATGTTACAATTGTTAATTCTGTGGTTGATAACCATTATTTAAACAAAGTATTGTCATTGAATTTACAGAAAGATCTGTTAGTTTACAAAAGGTCTGGGCGCAACCCTGTTGTCAATTACAAATTATATAAGGACGGGATACATCCTGGCAGCTGGCGCGTGTATGGATGACACGTTATACATGTATAATTAAATTCTTTCTTCACTGTGGATTATTTTAGCTAAGGTCTTGATAATTTGTATGTCTTTTCATGTAAAAAATTTGTGAAGATCAGTAGGTTTTGCACTGGTGATTATAAAGGGCAACACATTGTTTATTTTCTCTTTTCGCGTGCCTGTTTTTCTTTATGAATTCTCTCATTTTTAAAAATGTCTAGTGAAGACAATTTGTTAAACATAGCATCAGGTCGCCTGTCTGATGATAGCCAGCTAGATTGTAAGCATATGAAGGAAGAAGGACTATTCAGAAAGGGGCTAAGCCTAAACTTGGGGAAGCAGGACATCGAATGTTTGAGTTTGATCTCATACGAGCTCTACAGTATTATGAGAATTATGATGATGTTCCAAGTGCATCCAAGTTTGATTTCCCTAGGTCTTCCACGAGTACTCCTGCATTACATGCAGATGATAGGGCTTTCATCCTTGCCTCATTGGAGCAAACACTTAGTCAAAGTGTTATGTAGCAGGAGAGCAAAAAGGCAAAGAAAAGTGTCTGTTTTTCAGGTGATGATTACACAGAGTGGGGATTATTTGAAACTATGTGTAATATGATGATACTGAGACCCCCGAACATGCAATAGTCCAGGCAATTCGCAGATCCTTAAAAGGATCCATCAAAGATGCTTATTTTATTATTTATTAAGCCACTCCGACAGACATTTTGGACATATATCTCAACACATGGCATGATTATTCAAAAATGCCAAAAATACAGACGAGTTATCTACATATTTTGGTGGTCGGCTTAAGACTCCAGACTGCAATAGAAAACAACTCTGTTAATAAGTCGTCAAAGAAGGATATCCTTCGACATCAGTTCTGGATATCACTGCATAGCGATCAATTAGAAAAAATCAAATCGGACACAAATGTGACAACATTACCGATTACAATCAATTGACAACAGAGTTCAGAACAGTAATTAAACATTTCCTCTGCTACCAAAGTTCTAGTAACCCCTATCATAAGAACAAAAAAATACCATACACTACTGTAGCCATGTGCGAAACTAACCAGGTAGATGGTGATGTTTCTACTCCAAAGAAAACTTTTGATTTTAAGATAAACTGGAAGAGAAACTTCCGTCCAATGTGGATTTAAAATTGGATGAGATTCCATACAGAGTGAATAAAATTCAGTACAAGTCAGACAAAGCACACAGTCGAGGTCAAAGTCAAGGTCATGGTCAAGGTCGTGGTCGAAGCTATTACAAAGGTCGAGGTTCTGGTCTAAAGTCAGGTCAAAACTTCAAATCACAGGAGGACCCAAAAGAGTAGCAGCTTCTGTGAACGGCCAGTCAGGGGTCCATAGTGACTTAGGCCACAGTGAGATCATAAACAGTGAGGCTTTTTCACAAAAATTGAAAGTAAAATAAATATGGTAACTTTGCGACAGCTTGACCCGTCTTTTGATTGTAATCAATGATTATAAGTGTAAACATTTATAATAATTTTCAACATATGATAAAACAAAAGCTAGCATTGCTGCTACTTTTATTGTTGAACCGCACATCATTCAAATTATAATAAATAGAATGGCGTGTGTCGAGCCACGCGACATTCTAATTCCTGAACCAATGCCCTAAGGAGAACAAAAAAGAAATTAATCCGTCTTTCTAAGAACATCCCCCTTAACCACAATCTTTGTTATTAACTAAAT